CCGATGCATGCAGTTTCTTCACCTCAGTCGCACTAGTTTCGATCTTGTCTTCCATTTTTCATCATAATCTGGGTTACCCAAAATTATCGTGAACTGTGCCTTTGAGCACAGCAAAACTGCATACATTTCTGGGGCTTAACCCTTCCATTGTTTGCTGCGCTTAAAGAGCTTGAAGAATTCATCGCTCGATACAAGCTCGAGCTAACGATCTCTTCCATCCCTATGGTATAGATTGATTGGTACCATACTCCTCTGGGAAGAAAGAGGACATACTTGTACAACGGCGGGCAACCGCAAGTCACTGCATAGGCCTTATACGTATTCAGAATACCACTACGATTTCGAATGAAAATCGAACATGGGGGTACATCCTAAAAAAGGAATAATCAAGGCCACAGACTTTAGGGTGTAATGTATATATTTTACCATTTTCAGAAATAGTTCTTATTTGAATACTACAGCCTTAGAAAACCCACTATATTCCTGTTGAACTACGTGGTCTCATCTCAACTTTCTTCAGAGCAACTTTTGTTTCTAACATCTGGAGCTTTAGCTCTGCGTTCCCAGAAGCACCAGATATCACAGAGCCACTTCAGAGGCATAGCACATGTAGAAGTTTTTGAAATAAATAAAGGAGCGCTCGGCTTATCCACGTGCTCCACAAAGTGACTTTCGGCTCCATTCGTCTGTCACTTTTTCTGCTTCCAACACTATCAAACTTTCAACATTTTAACTTTTCAAATCGATTAAGCACTTGACAGCACTGGCACTTGAGCGCTCATTGTGATGATACGAAGGATTTTACGCGAATTCCGCTTCATTCGTCCTACATCAGAATACTCTCGGTTGAACGGCAGGAGGAAGTAATCTCTGTAATGCAGACGAGTTTTGAGACATTTTTGAGACCATTAAATAATCATATATTTCTATTTTACTGATTCGTCGGCGGACAAACAAACATGAACAGCTGAATTTCTTGAGAACTGAATAGCGCTGATTGAATAACAGTCGAAGACAGCATTTCGCACGGAAAGAACTGAATTTGCTTCAACCGAAAGAAACTCCAAGGGNCCCAATACGATGATCAGGACAATTCAGTGTTTAGATAACTTTTAAATGAATAAACAAATTCAAGATGGAGGAATAAAACAGAGAGGAAGTCAGATGCAAGTCTTCTGCAGGGTTGTCATGATCTTTCCCCATACTCGTTTAATGATTTACTTTATTACTATCCATAGTGGCGATATTTGTCATTTTCCTATCTAACCGATTGTTATGAAAGTTCCGTCCCATATTTCTTGACGGAGCCTGTTGTCGTGCTATTCGGTCGACTCCGGTTAAGTCCCCTCCGTGGCCCAGTCAAGAATGTACAGTATGCAAGCTAGAGGATGATGTGTGGCTGTGGTTCGGAGACCAGCGTGTCTGTCACTCGACCGTCGTCCACCGTTGTCTACCACCACGCCGGTTGTATCATCACACGACTCTCCAGTGCTGCTCCAGCTTCCATCACTGCATCTCCAGCGCTTCCATTCGATCCGTTCCACAACTATACCGTCGTGGTCAGCTAGTGTGGATAGAGTTGGATGCTAGAGTGCTTTAGAAGATTGGACCACGGGGGTGACGTGGACTAAACTTGAGCAGGAGCCGTGCCCCTTCAGATTTAATGTAGCCTTTGTAGGGATATGTGTATATTTACTCGCCGTAGTATTTCCTATCTGTGCATTTTTTACCCGTGTTTATTTGACAATTTACTTCATTTTACTTCTTATCGTGTTACGCTCATAAATGTAGATTTTTATTAGATGCCGTTTGTTCGAAAACCATATGAATGGCGCCCTTATGCAGGAGGTAAGCACAAGTTAGGTTAGAATTGCAGGTCCCTTTGGGATAGTTCGTATGAAACAGGTCATTTTAGTTTTACCTCGGATGCAGTAGCACGCGTGCGAAACAGCGTTTGAGACCGGGACCAAAGGCTTAATAGAATGCATGACCTACTCTGGCAGAAAAAAGAAAAGATAAATATTTGGGAGAGCACAAAGCGAGACCCTACACTAGCTATTTTATCGAGACGTGTGTATGTCTGCCTGAGATTCGGTTCGTTTAGTAGCAATGTTGGCATATTCCCATGGTCTGAACCGTCGTTACCGACAATGAGCAGTCGGAATGCCATCAATTTTTTTGGCTAGTGACCCCTCCCGCAAGCAACTTGTTCCGAGATAGTGCCACATATAGACTCTTCCGCAACTTGAGTACCTTCTCAGTTAACTGCCTCCAGAAACAACCCACAGAACAGAAACTGATCAAAGGTTTCCGGTAAGGCGACACCTTACATAAAAATTTTCCCGAATCCGTGAAAACGCCAAAGTTTGTTGGATTCTTCACAAAAGTTGAAGGTGAACAACAGACGCGAACTGTTGTGATAGGGTTGCTATGCAACTCTCAACAGAGTGGACATCAACACTGAGAGGGATCGTTCCCGTTGTGCCACACAGACGAGTTCATGCAGAGACAATAAGCTTCTTCCCATTGTTCAAGTAAACTGGGTAGGTAATGAGACTTTATAGAGCATTACATTTCTTACTGCTTTGCCGCACAGGTTTGTCATGATAGCTCTACTTGATCAATATTTCGGACAAATCGTTGCCTTTAAGGACCTGAATGTATGTAGTTCGGAGCTCTTGATCTGGTCTTCCCGACCAAGCGCCCAAACGCGCTAGGCCAGTTGCAAAATTTCCCAGGTACATGAAGATCCCAGCCAAGGAATCAGCCTTCTGCGGTTCCATGAACGTTGCCGTTCCAGTCGATTTTGTGAACAGCAGGGACCAAGGGTTTCGAGAAGACCGAACGTGTTAGATACTTTGGAGAGCGTCGTTATGTCTCAGGGCCAAAGTAGAGACAGTGTGGCAAGATAGCTTTGCAATTTCACAGATCATCACCATGGGTTAGACACGGAACCGCAGCCCTTTCCCTTTAGATGGAGAATAATTTAGCAACAGGAAGGCTAGAAGTTTCGTAACAGCGCTCCCAGGCCCGTTCCTTCCCTCCACCTCATAACTATCTTATCACCTTCCATTTTTAAAACTAGAATGTACAGCCTACTCCACGTTACTTTTATCTCACGAACTATTTTCCCATACCTACCTAGTTGCGATTGACAACTAAATTAACCGAGTGTCCTCTATCCTTGCAAGCATTTCGAACCCTTAATGGAAAACCATCGTTCCTCTGGGAATCAGCACGTTTTTGCCGATGGGCGATCATCGTGATTAAGTTCCTGCGACGGAGAAGAATACGTCATCCCTACAAACCGAATTTATGAATTCGTCGTGAAATGAAAGATGCTTTGTGTAATACGTTCCTAGATACATGTTAATTGTCGCCTAAATTCGGTATGTGTGCTTATTTGGCAGTGTTGAAGATCGTGCAGTTCCGTTTTAACTGTCTTTGCTGTAGAATTGAAGCTTGAACATTTTGTTTTTGCAAGAATGATGATGTGGAGTTACCTGCGCTAATGTTCATCTGTCGTTGTTGTTGTTCGTCTTTCCAGATGCTGAACGACTTTCCATAACATGTGTTTTTTAGATGGAGTCGATGCAGTCTGTTTTGCCACCGACTATGAGTCCGGGATGGAACGACCCACCAAACTTGGGAACACCATCACCTGGCTCTGGATCCAGCCGATTGGCTCATCTTCGTAAAAGATTGGTTGATCCATCGATATCGGTGAGTTGGAGCGAAAACTTCTATGGTTTTATATTTTGCTATAATGGATTCGAGTGTTCGGGATCGAAAGTGAAAAAGTGGGCCATCTGCCTCTATTCTGAGAAGTGCCAAACTCTCAACAATGATAAATTGTACAATTAAATTCAATTCCTTTGGAAGAGGTCTAGTGAAGGCTGCTCAGTGGCGCTTAAAGTGTATGGCAAAGCAGCGTTAACTTTCTATCAGTTCCCTTGTTTGATATTTGCATTGCACCTTTTATCGAATTTCCCGGAATCTTACTGCATTTTGATTTGGATTCCTTCTCTTTACTTGATTGTTATTGTTTTAGGGAGGATCGAGTAATCCCGGCAGTATAATGTCGCAGCCAGGTCACGGGCCTCCAGCTCACATGTATGCTGGAAATACTAACAGGTATCATTTTCGATTTGAACCCCATTTTTTCACGACTTCGCTTGTTTTCTAATTAGTGATGATTAAAGCGGCGTCATGGCGTCAGTTTGTATGAAGTAAAATTCCAGTTGTATTTCGGGCCGTGTATCTTCCCAATTAATTCTGTCATTTGAGAATGTTACTGGCTAAGGGGGGAGCAAAGCCTAATGCAGTCGTGCTATGCGGAGCCAAATGGTGATGACAGGGTCAGAAAAAGAAAAAGTATAGGCGTTTATAAAGATGCCGTTAGTGTGTTCATATAGTGTACGCTGGTATCTTTCATTTGAGATTTGGGCTCATATTTAAAAGCATCATGAATAAATAGTGAATTATTTTGGTGCCCTCAGGCAACAGAAAAACATATTGGTAAAGAAAGTCATATATTCCTTAATTACACTAGTGGGAACGGTTGCCTAATCTGGGGTGGGGACCTCACAGCTTATACCAACCTGCTTCAATGAGTTTAACATCTTTTAAAACTGTAGTCTACCCTGTTTTAGAGCACAATACTACACTAATTAAAAGGAGTAAGATTTTCTAATGTTTTAACAGATTCATCCATCTTGTGCAAGAGCATTTAGTAGTGAATTTTCTTCTTTTTAATTATGGCGACATTCTCAATATAACTCAGTCAGCGAATTTTTTTCACAGGAAACAGTTTGGAAACAGATCACTGCTTTAAAGTTTCACGACACATTACAAAAGGCTGGTACTTTCGCGGTCCTAGTACTTTATTAGATGCAGATTAATCAAAAGCTAGTTCATAATNGTCTCTGCACCCAGCCGATTGACTCATCTCCGTAAAAGATTGGTTGATCCATCGATATCGGTGAGTTG